TATCCTCCTCGCCCTCGATGCCTCTTTAAGCAGCATCCAGCGAGCGAGCGGGAGAAGGCGAGACAGAGAGGCAGAAGAGAAGATGAGGATAATTTGCAGACAGCTTGTCTTGTTGTTTTCTGGCTTTTGGGGACTAGCAATGGGAGCTTTTCCTAGCAGCGTGCAAATAGGTAAGCGCTGCATTGGGCTGCGTGCGTGTGTCCAGGGGTTCAATCCTTTCCGAAGTGAGCTGGAAAGGAGGCTCTGAAGGCAGCTTTTGCAGATTTCTCCTCCAGCACCATCCCATTTCCGTGCCTGCACGAATCATCCTCGTGTTTCTGTGTATGTGCCTCCGTGTGTCTGTGTGTATGTAAATATTTCTGTGTGCGTTCGCGTGCGGGAAGGAGGATGCTTGTCTTGTGCAGAACTCCTTCCAGCCCCGGGGGTGCGGTGTCGGCAGGGCACGAAGGGGCTCGGGGCTGGTGCCCCTTGGCTGCTTTAGCCCCCTCCGACTCCCCTTGCTCTTGCCTGACTCTCGAAGGAATGGCGAGTCCTGAGCAGCCGAGGTTGCGGTAGCCGGCAGGGATGGGGGGGCAAAAGGCTACATCGTCCTTCGTTCCTCTCTGTAGTTGGAAAGTTTAGGGTTTTGTAAGTGTGTCCCTCTAGTCCTGTGCCCCATCCTCACCCCTTTCCCATCGCCTCCTGCTTCCCTCCTTTCGGACGTGTTTGGGATGGGACGCAGCTATCTGAATTCTTTCCAGCTCAGCTTCATCACTGCATCATTTCTTGTGGACTTGTAAAGATGCTGCTAATAAGGCTGAGCTGCTCCCTGCCTGCACATGGCTGCAGAGGAGCAAAGTTCATTATCTTCCTCTTCAGTGCAGATTATCCTATGCCGAGTTGGTATTCCCTTTTTTTAATCCAGAAAGCATCGTTCCGCTTAATCAGCCCGCCACTTAATGTGAGAGGCTGTTGAGCAGCTGATTTACCAGTGTGTTCAGTATCAGGGAGATGGAGGCTAAACACTTTAAAAGGTCACTGTAATCATGACAAATCTGGGTATTTATGTATGAAAGGCTGAAAACCGAGAAGTCAGAAAAGAAGCATGAATGCATCAGGGAGGTTAAAATCGATTGAGGACGGTGATTTAAAGGCAGTGGTTGTGATTATGAATACGATTAGTTCCTTATCCATTAAAGTCTTAGGACTTGCCTTATTGTACAGCTTTGGGAGAGACAGTTGCTTGGTTTTACAAGACAGTAAGTGGCTTGCAAATGATTTACCCAGCTGCTTTTGCTTTTTGCTTTTTTTTTCCTATTTTTTGTAGGTGGTCTCTTCATCAGGAACACAGATCAGGAATACACTGCTTTTCGATTAGCAATCTTTCTTCATAACACCAGCCCCAATGCATCCGAAGCACCTTTTAATTTGGTTCCTCATGTAGACAACATTGAAACAGCCAACAGCTTCGCTGTAACAAATGCCTGTAAGTAAACATGCCGCTGATCCGACCACCTTACACATAAATTGCAGTGGAAAGAACAGGAAACCACATAGTTATCTTGCATTGTAAATATGTCGGGAAGTCTGTCTTCGGTACAGATAGCCTTTGCAGAACAGCAAAAGGGGCAGCAGTCCTTGTTAGTTCCTTAGTGGAGCAAAATCCCCTCTCCTGCCTTCTGCTGACTAACCTGATGTGACATTTACTTTAGTAAAAAGTAAACTGCAGTATTGCTGTAGTTTCTTGCTTCTTTGTTTCTATGGAGATGAATTTTGTTGTTGTAAAGAAAAATTAGGAATGTGTCAATAAGTGCATAAATCCCACACTTTTGTTTGCTTCTGTGCATGCTGTGCCTTGCGTGTATTTGAAAATATATGATAATGTTTGTGCTCCCATATGCTTTTCTAATGGCTGGAAAGGAGACAGGGAAGCAGTGGTGTGCAGGATAATATATCTGAGTAGCTTGACGCTGCAGTTGATCTGGTGATGTCACTTGAGGCAGCCCTGCTCTTATATTCTAGGTTGTAAATGTCTCTTACCATTTCGTAATGCATACATCCTGTGGATATGTCTCTGTGCATCCATACATTGGTGCCAAATCAAGTTAGTATCTGAGCTACTTGGTTTCACAGACCACCTCAACTGGAACAAATATTCTCGTCCTACTATATATTTTATAAACACACACACACACCCACATACACACAGATGCACATACACAATGAGAGGAAGACAGAGCAAGAAATGCCCTTAACAAATGAGGTAACATTTATTTTCTTTAATTTCTGTTTTAATAAAAGTGATGTATAATTAGCTGAACGTGCTACATTTCAGTCACCCCAGGAACCTTACCAGTGGTTAAAACATGTACTAGATATAGCTAATCTCTGAGAGGGGCAAAGCATTATTTCTATTTATTTTCGTGTGTGTCTGTCTTCTTAAAAGGAATTCATGTTATTATGTAAGACACTGGTGTACAGTGGGGCAGAGCTGAATACTGTAGTAGCGTTACTACTTTGATGTTCATATTTCAGGACTCTATAGGTTTTCCTCTGTAGCTCTTTAAGTTTTCCAGTCCCTCCTCTCCATTCAAGAGTGAATTGCCTCTGGAAGTAGATGCTCTAAGCGACATTGCTGAGCAAGTTTAAAATAGAAACATACTGGAGAATGTCTTAGTGTTCATGGTGCCTTTAAAATATGTGCTGTGTTTCTCTTCCCTTTCTCACTGCTATCTCTGTGGCACTTTTTAATATGTAAATTTATTTATCCAAGTCTTTGCTACTTCAAGTTTCAGATGACCTTGCCACCTTGTTTTGGAGGAAAAGCTTCTGAGCTGCCAAAATGGCTCCATTCATTTTATGCAGGAAAGGGTGATGTCCCGTAAAGCATGAATTCTATATTAAGCAATGTATTAATTGTATTTAGCGTGGAAATCAGTATCGAATTCCCTAAGGCAAAAACATTTCAAAAGATGCTTTGAAACTGGAAGCAATCAGGTCTGTGCAGGTGTAGTACATTGAGAAAATACTACAGTTCGTGTCAACTTTTGCAAGCACTGATAATATTTATTCCATGAAGACCAATGACATGCTAGCTTTTTTAAACATAAATTTTTAGCAAACGGGATGGGACTAAAATTTTTGGGTACTAAAATCAGTAATTTTAAGTTAAGTCAATTATTCTAGATTCTGCCTATGCATCTAGTTTTGTCAGTTTCTCAAGTATTGCTTCATTTTGGATTAAGGATATTGTTTAGTCTTTCCATTTGAATGTTAGTGAATTAATTCTGATTTGCACACATTTAAAATTGTCTAAAATAGCACCACTTCACTGTGTAAAACTAAACACCTTAAATTCAAAAAAGCGTTTGGCCAAACCTTTGCTCATTTACACTATTTGCAGCAGATTCTTCTCTCTTTCCAACCACCTTATGCTATTTTTGCCTTATATTTAACTGAGGAACACCTCTCCCATTATGTTTGCTGTCATTTATAGAAGCAGTGATTCATAACCTGATCCTTTTTTTTCCTCTTTAAGCTGAACCCAGTTTCTGTTCCAAAGTATTTAATAGCTTTAGAAATGACGAATCCTTGTAGTATGGGGAGGTGGCAGAGAAGAAAGGGAAAATTAAATTTATATGCTTATGTGTGTGTATGCTTATAACATTCTGTACATTTTTATTAAATAGAAGTAATCCTAAAGGCCTCATTTTATGTTTCTGCTTGCCACCTAAATGCACATGTATATTTGCATTAGTTCAAGTTATCATTTCATGTTTTGCAGTCTTGTGCCAATAATCTGAGTACTTCTTTTTTAAAACATTTTATTACTGAAGAATATATTTTAAACAACAGATATTCTCCTAATGAAACGTAGGCAAACCAACTGACAACTGAATGAACATATCTCATGTTCCTTAAGCTAAATGTGAGCAGAGTCCTGCAAAAATCAATTGTCTGATAGCTGGAGGACACTGGCTTCCATGAGATTGAATTTCCTGGCTTGACAGAAGCTTCTAAAGCGCACATGTGTGAGTTTTTCTAACCTAATTAAAG